TCTCACCTGTCACAGATGGACCGGGCAGTGTGCAGTGTGGTCTCACCTGTCACAGATGGACCGGGCAGTGTGCAGTGTGGTCTCACCTGTCACAGGTGGACCGGGCAGTGTGCAGTGTGGTCTCACCTGTCACAGGTGGACCGGGGAGTGTGCAGTGTGGTCTCAACTGTCACAGGTGGACCGGGGAGTGTGGAGTGTGGTCTCACCTGTCACAGGTGGACCGGGGAGTGTGGAGTGTGGTCTCACCTGTCACAGGTGGACCGGGGAGTGTGGAGTGTGGTCTCACCTGTCACAGACGGACTGGGGAGTGTGCAGTGTGGTCTCACCTGTCACAGGTGGACCGGGCAGTGTGCAGTGTGGTCTCACCTGTCACAGACAGACCAGGCAGTGTGCAGTGTGGTCTCACCTGTCACAGGTGGACCGGGGAGTGTGCAGTGTGGTCTCAGCTGTCACAGGTGGACCGGGGAGTGTGTAGTGTGGTCTCACCTGTCACAGGTGGACCGGGGAGTGTGGAGTGTGGTCTCACCTGTCACAGGTAGACTGGGGAGTGTGTAGTGTGGTCTCACGTGTTATACACTGTACTTTCCCAGTGAAGCGGAAAGTTCATGCTGACGCCCTGGGTGGTTGCCTCTCACGGTGTGTTTTTTCTTGCATAATCTGTAGTCAGTGCTAGCCCTAAAGGAGAATGCAGGTTTTCTCAGGTATTTTACAGTTTCTATTTAAAGAACGGCTGAAATAAGCAACCTTTTTATGATAACAAGATCACACTGTAGCAGCCATCGCAGTCCCCTAGGAAGTTTGTTATAACAGAGTTTAATTTAGGAGGTCTGGGGCTGGAGTTGCATTTTAACAAGTTCCCAGGCGAGGCTGTTGCTGCTGGTGTCGGGTCACACTTTGAGAACCACTGTCCAGTATCGTGCTGCTGGTGTTCGAATATGAGGACTTATAACACTGTGTTAGGGATAGAACACGGCCGTTTGCTTAAAGAAAAACGTCCTTAGGTAAAGTTTCACTGCGTTTGAATTTCTCTTCCAGGTACAGTTTATCATACATCCCATATGCAAGGTGAGTCTGTTCGAATTTCATGGTGTTGTTTCTGTTCCTTTAATTGTCTTTTACGCAAATTCATAAATTATATTTTCACATTAGAATATTCTTTGTGTTTTTTGTTGACTCTGACTTTCTTCCTAAAAGGAAGTAAGTTACTTTCTAACTGAGATGAAGTATTTAAATGTAAACATTCTGAACTTGAGTAAGCTGTCACCCTTCTCTCTGATTCCCCCTCTGAATGTTGGCAGCTGCCCACTGTTATCAGCCCACTTGAGCCTTGCCTTCCATAGCTGCAGATACTCAGTACACGGGATGCGGAGATTCAGTAACACAGATTGTACTTTAGAAAAAGGAAGGTAGTGGGAAATGAGGTCTGATAGATCAGGTTTTTTTTATTTTAGTTAGGAGAAATGTGTTTATCCTGCGTGTCAACAGACAACTGCCATTTTCTTATATTTTTTTCAGAAAAATA